GGAACGTAGAAGCGCTTGTCTTTGTTGCTTGTCACGTCCCTTTGTCTGTTTATGCGCTGTGCGCAAGAAGGAAAAATGCTTGACACACTACAGAACAAAAACGCCAGGCCTGCGCAGTATAGACGCAGCACAGTCACAGCGAAAGCCAAAAGAGTGACTTTTCAGAGCCTTTTCAAAACACTCATTGCATAACTACTGCAAGCACACTTTCTTGGTGCCCACTAGTGCATTAATAATAAACTTTTGGATAGTAGGCCAGCATTCGATACGTGATTTTTGTCATTCTTCTGAGAAGCGTGGTATCCGCTAAACACTTGCTAGGAAATTTGTGCCAATCGTCCATGCAGGGAATGACGACGATGAGGAATTATGGCTGAAGTAGATATGCGCCAAAGTTAATAGGGGAACAATAACAGGCTTTTGTGTTGGTTTGAAGCATTAAATGGCCCACTCGTTTTGCAATTCGCGTTGTACGACGACTGGTTGTTCTTTCGCTGCTGTAAAACGCTTTTTATTTCGTATTAACGCGATTGCTTTCAAGACATCAACATTGCCTAAGGCAAATTTGACAAGTCACAAGCACCGGCGTAGCTCAGTGGTATAGTTCTGAGCTGGCACCCAACGGGCCTGGGTTCGAGCCCCACTGTGCCATTGGTGCTAGATCATGCCTGCCTAAGGCAAGTTTGACAAGTTACGAGTACTTCAGCGGTAGAATATTGAGCTGGCACTCAGTGGACCCGGGTTCAAGCCCCCCGGTGTCAATGTTTTTTTTTCTGTTTCCGCGCGATGCGGTTACTGACGCCGGCAGCGGCGGTGGTACACCTCGCGTGACCCGTAAATTGATCTCATAACAGCTTTCGCTGTAAAGTTGTACAGGTACCCCCCCCCCCCCCCCCGTATTACTTCACGAAAAAAAGAACAAACCACCGAGAAAAAATTTGTGGGCTGGAAGGCAAGAAATTTGATTGTAGCGAACGTAAACAAAAAAACTGGAAGCCAGCTATCCTCACCACTCACCAGCGTTTGTAGTTAACGTTTTGCCTGCTTTACTCATACTACATTTGATCGCCGCTTATGCAGAAGTTAATTTCAAACGTTTGTTGCAATACAGCAACTGCTGTTTCAACAATTCAGATAGAGTGGTCGTAAGCAAGCTAGTGCCTGCTTGTTCAGCGAAAACCTTGAAGTCGCTAATGCTACTACTGATGCAGCGGAATGTTAATAGGCGTTTAGTATTTAAAATAAGACCTGATTGCAACGAATTGCGAACTACTGTGGCGGCAAACCTACCCCATAACTCTTCTGCGCAACCACAAAAAAAAAATCTGCCCTGTATCTGCATGTTAATCTGCAAATGTCGTCGAAAGAAGATAGTGCTGGGTCTGGAAAAAATAAACAAAACGTTTATTTGATGTTCTGCGCAAGAAAATTGGTAAATGGTATTCTGGAGGTGCTGCGTTAGAGTGCCTTGAGCGTGCAGCAAAGGTGAATGAGCGCACCAAGTCACGTCACACGTGAGCCATGAGCGCTATCTGGCAGTTATCTTGGAAAACAGAACGCGCGGCTCTGAGACGGATGTGCGCGCCCGTCTCAGAAGTGATATGGTGTAGAACGCAAGGGGACGGGTAGGTGCCACCACCGTGTCGTCTAAGCAAAGCGTTGGAAACACTTCTCTTTTCGTGCAAGCGTTGCATGGTAGGCGCCACGTGATAAATGCTATGGTCCTAAAATAACCTATGTCTGCCTTTTCCAGTAAAAGACGCACATACGTCGATTGATTTGTGGGGTTTAACGTCTCAAAACCACCATATGATTATGAGAGACGCCGTAGTGGAGGGCTCCGGAAATTTAGACCACCTGGGGTTCTTTAACGTGCACCCAAATCTGAGAACACGGGCCTGCAACATTTCCGCCTCCATCGGAAATGCAGCTGCCACAGCCGGGATTCCATCCCGCGACCTGCGGGTCAGCAGCCGAGTACCTTAACCACTAGACCACCGTGGCGGGGCAAAAAAAAGACGCACATACAGAATATATACGTGTTGTTATGGTACCTAAAAGATGCGCAATAATTGCTTTCTGATTGACGATCGCACAAGTATGAACGCTGAAGCTTGAGCAGCATTGGTGGGTGCTGCTGATTGTGTCGGTCGTTTGGGATATTTGCCGGTGTCGTTTTAATCATAGAGTTTCCCACAATACTTACTAGAGGGAACTCTGGCGCTAGTGTCTATGGGAGCTGCAATGCACGGTGTTTCAGCGAGCATGGGAGTGATGGGTAGTACACACATTTGTCTAATCTTCGTACTTGTAGCCTGCTTTTGGCTCCGTGTGTGTTCGTGTGGCTTGGAGCTGTTTTCTTACGAAACAAGTATTAGCAAACGTTCAGTGGTTGCGCTTCACCGTTTTAGTTTTTTTAGACTACCTTTCCAAATCGGCTCACGATGTTCAAAAGGATTCAATCTTTCTTTCAAAACAAAACCGAAACACAGCAATAAACGAAGCCGCAAGTACGATTCGCTGCCCGCAACTACGAAAACTAGGCAAATATGTGTACTACCCATCATTCCCATGGTCGCTGAACGATCGCCACGCTAGAGTGCCCTCTAGTTAATTTTGAGAAACTCTAAGATTTTAAGCACCCGGTACCGTTAAGAGTGGACAGACAGACAGACCAAAATTTTTGCGTCGAATGTCCGCAAGAAAGACTATCGTCCTTAAAACGTTCACCAGGTCACCACAGTATAGGAATCGTCCCTCGGCGAAAACTCATATGAGAGCACGGGATACGCTCGGCGCTGTAGTTGTCCGCCGCCACTGGTGTCTTGTTTTGTTTTGTCGACTAAAAGACCTTGGCTTATACCCACAATGAGGAATGGCACACTGTACCTTATAGCAGATGCAATGGTTGTTGAAAGAACGAGAAATCAGATAAAAACGAGATGAATAATATTGTACAAAAATAAAAAATTAAATAACGACAGTGAGAAAAGTAAAAAGAATTCGACAAATCAGACGTTAATAGTAGCAAAAGAGAAGGGAGACAAATATTTGAATTCATCTTCTGGTACCACTACTACGTGTCCTTCCGATTATCTGAATGAATTTATGTAGAGCGGACAGAACTCACTCTCTCCAGACGATAAAAAGGTGAATGTAGTAAATGCTAACTCCAGCATACCAATAGGTCCCTCGAGAGTTATTTGGCGGAGTGAGACGAACAGCGGCATATGAGAAGGAATTGATCTATTGTTTCCGGTTCATTGCAAACTGCACTTAGGTTGGTTATTGAAAATCCTGATTTGTGAAGATGATAATTTAGCTGAGGTACTCTGAAGCTAAAGCATGTGAAGGGCACCTCATATTGGCGTGAAAGTCATTTTGTGGTGCTTCATGTGAACTGCAAATGCTACAACTCTCAAAGGTTAGGACCGATGTTTAACTTTTTTCAAGACTAGTAGACGTTTGAATCGTCATGCAGTTGGTAACCACTGTCGCATGAAATAGGAAAAAAATTCAAAGAAGAAACAACAAGGACATATCGGAATTTGAACTCGGGTCTACAGCATGCCAGCCGAGTATTTTACTGCCGAGCCGCGCTGGTGCTTGCGACTCATTCTCAAACTTGCTTTAGGTACGCTTGATGACGAGAAAGGAATCGTAGTAATATGAGTAATAAAGCATTTTAGAACAGCAAAGAAACAGTGGGCGTCACATAATGCTAATTGCGTAACAGTGTGTGTCCAATGCTCCAACCCATTACATAACCTTGTTTTTCATCGCCTATTAACTGTGGCACATACCCACTTCAGGCTTAATTTTTTATCGTCACCAGCCACTGCAGGAACAACTACGTTCACACGAAATTCGTTGCAAATGTTAAGCAGATACCACGCTTCTCCGAAGAGTAACGAAAGACGGCACAGTGAATGCAAGCTTTTTACGCACTGTATAATGTCGTAGCGGGTACCTTTCAAGTGTGCTTGCAGCAGCTACCGAAATGTGTTGAAAAAAAGACTGTTATAGCCCGGTCTTCTAGCTTCTGCTGTGACAGTGCTGCGCGATCAACGAAAGCCTGGCGTTTTTTTTTCTCGATACAGTCTGCTACGATCCATGTCGCATTGTTGGAATTTCAGCCTCATGCTGCGCGCTGGCTTATTGTATTCCTGTATATTTAGCAAATGTGCGCGAAGACGAGACCTTTTAGACTACGTTTCAAAGCGCAGACATCATGCCGGCTTGTCTGCGCCACTCGAAAGAGGAGTAATCGGCCCATTGATAGGTAATGACGACATGCGATATAGTCGTCTGACAAAGCATAAACGCTTTATCGCAGGATCACATCAGCGACTTTGAGTAGAATACCCTGGGGTACCCACAGGACCATTTGGACTGATTCAAGCAGATAATAGGTAAAGGTGACATGCCGTAAAGTCACGGGTTAACGAACAAAATAATTGTAAGCTCACATGACAAAATCATGTCTTCATGTAGTGTAACAAGGCCACAGAAGATTTTTAAAGGAAAGACTCATCTGACAGTATCATTTCATCAGCGTCGAAGTCATATTGAGGGTGATGTTTACTCACTCGCACTTGCTATGCTTTGGCAATGGATACTCGCGAGCAGGTAGCCCACCTTTCAAAGCTTGGTGTGATAAAACATTACGCCACCATCACGTAAGTCATATGCCATTCATGTTGTGTCATTCTTAGTTTTTTAGGCAGCTATATAGTTGGCGGCGGCGATATCTAGCCATGTTCTAGATTCTTCAGAAGCGGACCCCGCCCTACGTGGCAAGTGTACTCCTCTTGATGTCTATGAATGAATATAATAGGGTTTGCCATTCTTTATGCTGGAAGATATTATCAGACAGTCAGATCTTCAGTTGCAGCCACCAAGTATACGAGATTCTCTGGCGAAAATACTTGCAGATTGCCTTCGAGTTTTTTTTTGTGTGTGTGTGATGCCTTGCATATGGTGTTGTTTGTATTTTCCAGGGCTTGTTCATAATTGGCGACTCCATTCCTGGCTTTGTGTCTGTGTCCGCTTTCGTTGACCTTGATGACGATGACTTCAAAGAGGTGCACATTGAAGACCCTAAGGGGACCACGCTTGCTGTCTTTTACTCGTCTGGGACGACGGGTCACGCCAAAGGAATGGAGATATCGCATTACAGCTTGGTGGCAAACATGCACTTGACAAAGTGCGTATCTTTTATACTTTCACTTTGAACGTATAGTTAGAAAAATGATAAACGCGCATAATTCGTTGATGTGTCTTAATCTGTGCTTGTGTACTCTGGAAGCTGCAAATAGTAGGATGAAAAAATATTTTTATAGTAATTATGATAGTATGTTTCCGGGTTTGGCGTACGAAATGCACGAGATAAATATGATGCATTCATAGTAGAAACTACCGGAAGAATTTTGAAAACCCAAAAATCTGTAATAAACTTAAAAACACGGGTGTTCTTGTGTTTTCGCACTATCGACACACTCGTTGAAAATCATACCCTCTGCCTCAACACTTACAGTGTGATAGGGTATAGATGCTAGGCTACCACCGCTGTTTGATTTTTGCTTGAAGTACTTATTTGTGACTGGACTGCTGACAAGTGTAATGATTCCCCTGATGGCATGTCATGCGGCTTACAGGATTCCAAGTGTCCCGTGCTATATTACTGAAGCAGAGCTGGTCGGTACTCATCACTGCATTCTTGAATATGTTCCTTTCTAAGCATCGATTGACCTACACGACCCGAGTATGAAAAGCACAAATAGGAACACAAACGCGGGGAAGAGAATGTACTGTAATTATTATTCACTCATGCGTAGAAAGTCGAAGCGTTGAAAATTTTGATGACTTTTTATGGTGAATAGCTGCAGTGCTGCTATCACAGTAATGTGAATATTTAGTACTGCGGGTCAGTGGTAAGCCGAGCATAAGACTCTATATTCAATCATTTGATGCTTTCGCGTTCATCATCACCACATGTGGTTGGAGTTAACGGAGGCCTCCTCTGTGTGTGTCTCATAATTATTACGTGACTTTTTTTCAGAAGTTCAAAACCTACTATGCTTGAGTGATTTTCGTTTTCTGGGTGGACTCTTTAGTCCTCCTTGAAGGCTGCTGAGCCTCACGAGGTGAAGCTCTACTTTATTATTGGCTCACTTTTGATTAAGAGACCTAAGTTTCATGAGGACGTCCGAGTATGACAGGTCATTGGCGTAATGGCGACACTGTCGTCTCATGAGAGTTAAAGAATTCTGTTCTCACGTACATTAAAGGCTTTCATTCATTGATTGTATGCCATAACGCATCTCAGATAGTTAGGGCGTAGAAGAGTGATGACAGGAAAGGAAGGAGCGTGGACACTGCATCTTCTTTTACTGTTGCTGCTGTTTTGCGCACCAGCGTTCTAATATGAGCTACCAACCCGTCCAGGAACTCGCCTTAAGTTTGCAACGCATAATTGTCTGTCAGGCCAGTTTTATGGGCCACCATTTTTTATTGCCATTGTAGGGTCCTGGTCAGCTACCAGCCTGAAGATGTCCTCCTCGCCTGGTATCCAATAACATATGCGTCGGGTTTTATGTTTATCCCAGTAGCTGCTTGCGCAGGAGCCACATGCGTCATAGTACAACCCGGACTGACATTCGAACAATTCGTGTATTACGTCAACAAGTACAAGGTATGTCTTTGAAGCTCAATTGCTTCGTAGAAATAGATATATTGAACTGCGTGCATATGGTCGAGAGATTCACTTAAGAAACGAACTGAGTAGTCTCACAGAAGTGTGGTAGTATGGTCATTTTTAAACTTTGTCGTAAGATAGAAGCAAAAACATGAATGCAATCATTAATTTCGAGAGCCTTCTAACACTGCTCTATAAAAATTAGGATTCGTATAATAACCGCGCATTCATGTTCCGTATACCATTCCTTATAAGCGATTTCTCGACTGAACCTCATTTTCGAGTGACAAAGAATTCAAGACTCAAGCTCGCGATAGTGAAGTTATGAGGTTGTCGCCAAGGTGCACTCTATTGTCTATATTATTTGCTGAGTGCTACAATATACAACATACGCTTCCAGAGACTTTATAGAGATGAAGGGCATATGTCTTAACAGAATAGGGCTTTGTGGCAGTTAACGTTGTCACGCAATCTCACTTATATCGACTACATGTAGTGAAACATATAATCGCACAATAATCACTACAGGTGCAAAACGAAAGTGACTTGTCGCTTGTTTCACGCCTTCTATAGCAGCATATTCCACGAGTATTACTCATAGCCAAATTATATGAATCCAACCAACACCTTCTCTTTCATGTGAACACTACGCATTCAATTGGCATAGCAGAAACTAAGAGAAAAAAATTTAAGCTACACCCATCCTATTGATGCTTTAAATACGAAAAGCCACAGGGATTGGCTATCACAACGGAGTGTTTTAGCCGTCGGAAAGTGTGAGTCTAACAGTGCGATATAAAATGTAAGCAATGTTAGTCTTGTACACGATTACCTGCCACTGACGGCGCCACCAGTGTCACTCTCCACAGAATTTGATTGCAAGGTATTTAGGTAGAACTAATAACTGTGTTTATTCGTGTTAACAAATAAAATGTCTACTATCATTGCTCTCAATGGCTGTCGTAATGTTTAATATAAGCCTAGAAAACATTGTTGATAGCGAATTTGACATCAATGTTTGCATAACTAATTCACAAATAATAAATCTCCTATATTAGGGTCACCTTAAGTTGGCTGTGAAAAGGCAGATATGACATTTTCTAGCAAAGGGAAATGGCAAGTGTGTGGTAATATTGCGGGGTCAGTGAGTATAGCACCAAGTGCCACTGAAAATGTAGTCGATTTCAACCACGTGCGTTTTAGGTCAGAGCACACAAGCCAAACATGACTACCGGTGAACTTTCCTTCCTCGACATATAACACTATTCTATGCTCAGCATCTAGCATGCCGCGAAGTATTCTACGACGATGAAATATTGCTTCTGCAAAAGCAGTGCAGAGTAGTAGCCGATTGTGCACATAGAGAAAAGACTATTCTGTAATAAATTAACTGACTGAAACTTTTTTGCAGGAACTACCAAAAAAAGAAGGCACAATATACGGCCTTGGTATAACGCGCATCAAATATCTTTAGATATACTTTAAGGTCTGGGTTAATCAATCAAGCAATTTATGTTAACGCACGTTGCGTAATCAATAAAGCTTCACTATCTGCTATGTTTGTATCATAGTCATATGCTTTTTTCAAAAACAACGCTGCTCAGATGCCATGTTTCTGACAAGTTCGCGTACCGAAGAATTGAACGTACGTGAGAATTTGTTTTACGTCTTTATGCCAATCGTCCCGAAATTCGTGTAAAAACCATGGTACCGTCAGTTTGAGATATATTTCCACCCTTCCAGGTGACAACATTAGCATCAGTTCCCACACGGCTGCGCTTTTACTTGGCAGACATGGTACGGACTGGAACGAAGCTACCTTCCATCAAGACAATCAATGTGGGTGGAACAGTTCTAACAGAAACATTTGCCAGGAAGATACTCGCTGCCTTTGAGGGCGTACGCTCTCTGCGGAACCATTATGGCATGTCTGAATCCTGCGGTGTTTTGTGCTCGCCCCCAAAGGGGGAAATTTCATCAGGAAACGTCGGCTTTCCAGCACCTATGGTTGAGCTCAAGGTAAGGAGTGAAGATGGTATCTACACCAACATGTGCTTAGCATGTACGGCTTCTGTCGTGATATTGCTTTGCAGCGCTTGATAATAAAAAGTATCGCTGGGTACTGCTGCTTGCTAATATTGCTACCAGCGATATGCTGATTCGTGGAGGTAACAACGACAGACACACAACGATGTTGTCACTCTTGCCATGATGCTCGGTTTAGACCCAGGTGCAATGTTGCACGTTTTCGCGCTACCAATACATTGGCTGGTTAAGCACGGGGGTTTAGCTATACAAAGCGGCTTCAACACGTCGGAGACACGTCAAGCTTTTGTTCTCGTAGCAGCGTTATGTGTCAGCGCTTGTATAACTGCCACTGCATAAACTTAAGGGTGTCGTGCAGGCCATGTTAAACACTTTCGGCTTCGAACTATTCGGCTTGTTCTGTCGTGCTGCTAGAAAAATGGTTAATGTGTGCTCACTTGAGCGCTTCTCCATACAACAACAATGCTTCACTCGCCCAAACTTCGTGAATACCAGCGTAAAAAAAGGTATTCTTATGGCCGAACATATGTGCATTCTGTGGGTGTATGCTGTTGAGCTGTTTTCGGTATTTCTGCCTCGACCTGCAAGCGTCCCTTGGCAGCGGCGTGTTATGAGTGGTTCGAGATCGCCTGTATTTCCTTTGTAGATGTCTGAGACTACTGCCGCACATAATCCTGATAGACGAGGACAAAACACTGAGCAACATATCTTTATCGTTTCGAGACTCGGCCGCGACTATCAGCGGCCAGCACGAGCGCGCCATCCTCCACCGTTCTCGTCTGCCACTGGCGCGTTTACCACCACCACCGTTTTTCATAGCATATAAAAATAAAAAGAAAACTTTCACACGAAGATGCCCATAGGCGTGCAGAGGATTACTATTCAGCGGGAGAGGGGAGGGGCGAAGGTTTGTCGCAGCGCCCCCTCTCGCTATTGGGTCAATATAAGGAGTGGACTTCGCACCCCCTCCCCCTAGGAGATACAAGGACACTAACGCACCTAGACTAAATGCCTTTACTTCATGCGTGCTGTCGCAAGCAAAACGCAGGGCAAGCAGTGCCTCCCTTCTAAGCAGGTGAATAATAATATGAGTCTGCAATCAGCAGTTATTCAAAACTCTTATTTTAGCATGGCACACAGTGGTTCTCTAACCCAAACTTATTATTTAGTTGATTTAGCCCTCATTGACTCCCAAAAATCTGGCTAATAAATCTTTATTGTTAAATATCACACAAATGCATTAAATAAATTTTCTAAGGCATGCCCCAACGTCAAGCACAACCACCTCAAATTAGCAGTTGACCCATCTCCCGCTAAATAATGAAGTTAATTCACAAGCACTTCGCCCTTATGAACGACCATATGTACTCGGCACTCCTGTTGCACAGAAGATGCAGCATGAAGTAAAAACAACTGCAGAGTTACAGTCTTTCTCTTCTAGACAGCTGTTCTTTAGTAAAAATTGTTTTTAATTGCTGGTATACCGTACGCACAGAAGAAGACAGGTTGGCTTTTTTCTTATTCAGAATTTCATAGACATAACACATAAATCGTGAGGAGTGTAGCAAATAAACATAAAACTGGAAATTCTTACTCATTGTAGCAATGTGTCGTCACCTTCATAGTGTGTTGAACGTTATTTATGCAACACGACACTTCAAATATGCTACGAGTGACGAAGCACCCACTAATGTATGCATAAACAGAGTGACAACTTTTTGCCTGTTTTACTGTCACCTATTTATCTTCCACAATAATTCTAAAGAGTAAAACTTCTGCTCTACATGCCTGTTAATAAAAGCACAAGCGCTTACATTTAGTTAGTAGCATTTCAGCAATACCTATTGCATACCTTGAATGAATAAAAATACATTGTTTGAAATATTTTACAGAAACTATAACAGCATCGATTGTCATGTCAGTGTAACCATGTGCATATTTACATATTCGCATACAGTACCTATACCTAATACAAATATTAGGAACATACGCAGCATGGCAGAAGAACCATATATTATTCACCGCAGTATAGTAAAATGAAACTAGAGAAAAAAAACACTCACCATAACATACACCATCATGCGCACTGCACAGTTCACAATCCAAAGAATATAAGCACAATCCAAAGAAATGAGATGAGCAAGAAAGTTAGTGTCAGTCTACACATGAAGGTTAGCGAATTATTACAACAAGGCTAGCATTACTTTTACGAAATACTCAACCATCCAGGTGGCATGAAGTTTTTCATTGCATTAGCATGACCTATAGCATAAAATCTTGTGTGACATGATCATAAGTTCAGTGTTTTGCATAAAAATCCAAATGAGACCTGTTGAGTTTGTTGTACATACACTTACCGTAATTTGTAAAAGTGTTCAGTCATAGGGCCACAGTAGGGGCTAGTTGGTTGTACATGGCTCACACTCACGACGTGCGAGTATTTATCACGAAAAGACACACTGAAGCATCACGTATGCGTGCATGTTAAAGAACTGCCAAAAGTCGTGTGAGCAAATGATAGCGCGAAGTTTGATGAAGGAAGTTGATAGACACAGGGAAAGCTATTACCCTGATGCCTTGATCACTGCCTTGGCTGTGAGGCTCTTAACTGCCGTCGGAACGACATATAAAACGAACGTAGGATTGAAAAAGAAGCCAAAAAAGAGGCCTATTGTTATGCCCTACGTCCACGGCCTTTCGCACGGAGTGAAAAAGTTGCGTACCTCATAAATTTATTTCACTTTGTCACCAAGTAAACGGCAGCAACCAGAAGAACAACCATACATGTTCTGTTGAGCATGTCAACAAGTTAGTACCACGTGAAAAAATGTTGTATATGGCACTCCTTTGCCATGCGGAAAGTAGCACTTTGGGCAAACTGGTGGGTGTCTCTATTCACATTTACGTGAGCATGATTACAACTGCAAGCACACGAGTCATTCCGGTAACTTATCTACCCATTGCATGTAGTGTCATTGTAAGCAAAATTTCTAAAACACCATTCTTTTATCAAGATCGGAAAACACAAAGGAAAGTGAAATCGCCGAAGCTTTCGTGATGCGCAAGTTCGGTGAAAACAGGTGTGATAGAGCGCTATCTATTCATTTGTCTAACGATGGATATGATTTTTTACGTGGACATTTTAGATAGTTGACAAGGCCAGATTTGATGTCGCGCAGATGGTTGTTTCTAGTAGTGGGTAGTGCGCAGAGTTACGCTCTTTCTTTTTTTCTTTTCCTTTCACCATATATATATTTGTCATACTTCCATCGAGTAAACAGTTGTTAGTTCGCACCCTTGTAGTTCATACCTGTGCTTTAGTGTGTCTTTTATTTTCGATTCTAGCGCGTCTGGAGGGTTAACCATGTTAAGTCATAGCAAAAAATATTGACATTGCATTCGGATATATATGACTTCTTATGTTTACTCACACATATCTCAAAAATAACGCAATTATCTGGAATTACCTATGCTTGGTAACTTTTCGGAATTATCACGCTGCTGTAACACACCGATGCTTTATTTGTACCTAATTACTACACAAACCTTTACACTATTTCATGTTAGCCAATGTCATCTGCAACCTAAAATTTCTTCATCTTTAATTCCTCACTACATGGCTTAAGCATAATTACTACATTAAAAGTAATCCAGGTACCTGGGCTGCACAGAACTTGAAATAAAGCTATCACAGGCCTTAAGTTTAACATTTCTTATATATAGCAGATAGCGGTTAGCATAATGTGTCCTAGAGCTTGGTATATCATGAGATTGAAATAGATTTGACTGCAATAGTATACAGAGTGTAAAGCAGTTGGGACTTCAGTACAAAGTGCCATCGCTGTTCAAAGGCCGAAGCAGAGATCGGTCGAAGGGCATACTTTCTCGCTTTGTTGCGGCAGCTTGAGAAGAGTTACCTCCATTCGTGTCTTCTTTTTTTTTTCTCCTGGTCTCCTCAACACCCCGTTTTATTCTGTGCGTTAATGAACGCCGCACCTGCCTGACGTAAAACGGTACACTGAGTGTGCATGCGGTGCAGATCAGCCGCATCGGAGGTCTGCAAGCTCTTCCTAAAGCATTATATCGATTTGATGGTAAAACAACATAAGCGAAGTTATTTTATTGTCACAGCACTGGTTGAATCAGGCCTAACTGTGTGAAGTGTGCCCTCTACAGCATTTCATACAACGGATATGATTCGACGATATGAAGAAATAAACACTTGATTAGCGCGTAGTGACTTCGTTAAGCAATCTGAAAAATTTGTGCTTTTGTGTGACAATGCACTTCTTCCCCCTGCACAGCCGATTGCATGCCAGCCAGCACTGAGAGCAAACTGCAGAGAGCTTTGGAAAAAAAAACATGCGAGAGGAGGTGAAATCGGAGTTTTCTGGTGACCTCATTTGTTATGAATGACGTCGGATCGTAAATTTACCTCATTTCTCCGCTCATTTGCGTTATTTCTTAAGAAGGTGAAATTAAGGTCGCATGACAATTGTTTTATTACACCCTATGGGTGTATAAGTGTCTCTTTTGGAGGCACTGGAAGCGTACGGCTTCAGCCATGTTCTGGCCAGGACGGTAGGCAGGAGAACCAAGCTTCTCGGAGATGGTGAGGTATCAAGCTTCTTGTTGATCTACTGGTAAAGCCAAAGTTCACCGTGGCGCTCTCGTTTTTTCTGATACTTCCTGAACATTCGTGCGCTCTTCACAGTGCCGAGGCGCTTGTGGGCTTGGCGTTGATAACTTGGCCCGTGAATACACTGGGCGTGGGAGTCGACTAGAGAAGTGGCTAAATGTTTGGTCAAGTTGCTTTACGTTGTCCAATACGCGGCAACGGCGTCTAGTTGTTGTACTGCAATAGTAGTGGCTAGGTTCACGTCGGCTATGCCCTGAAGGGCATACTGAATGCTCTGAGTGTCGGTGAGAGTAACTGGGCATACCGAAATGAGATTCAACTTCGCTAGAGTAGTTGAGAAGGTTCTCTCCATGCGCTTTCACGCGACAAGTAACAGCTTGTTGCCACTGTAGCAAGGTTTGTTTAGCACTGCATTGGTCTAAGAAAGCTTGTCTGAAGGCTTTCCAAGTGGGGCACTGTGGGCTAATGAATGTTTTCCAGTCCGCTGCGGCTCCACGAAGCTTCCCCAGAGTGACAGCGAGTAGGGTTGATGGCTCCCACGATGCTAGGTTCCGGGTACATTTCAACTCTTCAATCCAGTGGGACGCTGAAATGCTGCCGTCCCTACTGTAAGTAGGAAGCGATGCGGACAGGTCTGGAAGAGCAGTGACTTGGACGGGGGCTGCAGCACATTGTGACACGTGAAGGAGTTAACGTGCTGTTGAAGCGTAGGCGTATCAGCCGGGGGGGGGGGGGGGGGGGGCAAGGAGGGCACGAGTTTTCTTCCCACTTTTTTTAGTTGTCAGTTTTGCTGCACGTTAGAAAAACCAACAAGTAAAGTGAAGTTTTCAGTCACAACAGTAATCACTCAAATATGTTTATACGGGAAAATGAAAATGTTACGAGGCAATATTACAACACAGTGAATGTTTGACCACATTCATTCAGTGATTATTTCTCGTGTGAGCTCTTTCCGGTGCGGGTCGCTTATGCGAGCCTTCGCGTCTTGTGCTGTAGTACTGCAGAGCAGGCAAACATTGAACAGGGGCGCTACAATAGTATATCACCTATTCAAGCTTCTATTCTGCTGTGACTTGTTGACGAGTTCGGATGGAAACGACCAAGCAATTTAAAGACCGGTCAAAGCATTTGCTGCTTCCGGAAAATAATTTTCTTCAAAAAGAATACACCGTCACCGCTGCTCTGTTGAAAGTGTTACGAGCCGGTGAGTGCGACGAATCGTTTTGAACGTGAAAATCGGGCTATGGACGCCATTCCTCAGCCTCTTAAAGTGTGATTGAATTTCGTGGTATCTGAGAAAGCGAGTCACGTCACCTGTGTGTATGCAAAATTCATATGAAAGTGTGAGCGCGTCAATGAAATTCTCTCTTGATATTCCAACGAACGAATGAGGTACATATGCCCTTCCACTGGTGAAAGAGTTGGTGTGCCACTGCGTTTAAGTGACACTGTCAGAAACTTGGTACTTTCGGCTGCATCGAAAGTCGGTGGCGACGCTGTGTTTGGGCACTGGCTGGGCGCTGAAAAGTCTGGGGTAGGCAACGAAGGCGTCGTTGAGCGATTTTTGGGCGATATCGTCGAGGAGGCGATTGATAACGTTTTCCTTTGACCCGGTGGCGTCCAGATTTCGGCGAGTCAGCTCTTCACGAAGAAAGTCCGCTGTAAAGCCACCGAAGTACTCTGGCGTAGCCTCACTGCCATTCACGACCGGCATGGTGTTCAAAACAACGTAGAAGAAGAGTCACGAGAGACGAAAAGGCGGGCAGGTCAAACCTTTTAGGTTCTGTTGGCGAGCTACTTCATCGGGTGGGTGGTTGGGTGTCAGCATGAATGTTGGCGAAAACGAATGGCAAAGGCGCGAAATGGCTCGGACGAAGCGGGCGATAGGTGCATCGGGTTGCGGATGCTACGCAAAACACAGGGCGCGGTGTGGATAGTCCGGTGGTTCACTTCACGAGGCGGGCAAGAGGTGACGTTTGAGGCATGGTTCGGGGTCGACTGCGCCAGTTGTGAGGGCTGGGTGGGCTAGGCATGAAGGCTGAGGTATGGTAAAACAAGAAGAACGCGCTTTATTCAAACATACTGAAAACGTGCCATTCGCGTCGAAGGCGGGAGCGAGATTGACGAGTACCGGCGCTCTCTGTGGCCTGCAGTTGAGCTGCAATAATGGCACCACAAGTGGCACTAGTGATTAGGTAGGCCACTACGCTACCGTGCATGGGGACAATCACAGTAACGAGCAGAAAATAAGATGTTTTCTTCCAGATACAGCTTGTGATTCTCGTCAGTTTCAATATGCGTTAGCATACAAAATGAGGCTTCATTTACAACTGTAAATGATTAGTGCTTGAGGAAATGATGACTCGTTGTGGTAGCTTTCAAGGTATTTCAATCAAAGGTTCACAACAAAATTCATCGACTCACTCTTGTGCCACCACTTCTTGGTCACATCAATAAAATGTTTCATTGCTATCGCGCACTCACTTTTACCACCATGTCGATAGTTCAGTTGAGTCACGCGTAGGCATACTGTGATTCCAAAAGCTAGCATATTTGCTCAATCGCTATTTCAGCCTTTGCACGAGGAAAAAACATAGTGTATATGCTTCACAGTGCCCACGCGCGTGGTTGAGTCCCGTCTCTGCGCAGTGCATTTCCGCCTCGGGAGACGTGCAACCGTGTGCCAGTGCCATCTGGAGGTTTCCTCCCAAGACGGCACGCGCTAGCCGGTGCGTTCATCACGCCTCCATATTCTAGCCACTGTAGTATCGTTTTATGAATCGTCAGTAGGTGTCAGTAGTCTCTCAGTTACTTTTATGATATTTTAATAATAATATTTATATATTATAAAACAAAAACACATCACTGGTCTTCGCAACATAAAAGCTCGGATGCGCGATTTGTTTGCCTAGAGTAGTGTAATTGCACCAAATTGATCTAGCAAAGATAAAACAACGCTCTCCTCTGCCCTTTGCTGCCACTGAAGATCAATAAAACTGCAACAATCAACAAAATATTAACAAGCCCATGATTATTTGTTTTACGCACAGAAAATGAGCAGCACGCCCACCGCTAAATTTTTTTATGTTCTTCACAATTTTTAATGAATTCTACCAGACCTATTTGAGCCACAGGCTCCACGAAACATTGTTATTTTATCACTAATACAACTACAGCCAACGCTCTCCATGGTATGCGTGAACCTGCTAAAAAAGAAACTGCTTACTCTGATCAAACTTTATCGTTTGTTTTGCCTCTGGCTAGAAATACTAACACAGAATTTAACAGGAGAGACGTGTATGTGTATCGTGCACTCTGCATTTTCTGTACAGTTTGTCAACCTGGATACAGGCAAAAAAGTGGGACCCAGGCAATACGGCGAGCTCTACTTTCGTATCCCAAGTGTCATGAAGGGCTACTACAAAAATTCAGAGCTGGTTAAGGAGTTTATGGATGATGACGGATGGTGCAGGTCAGGTATGTCTTTCCACGAACTGTCATAACGGGAACTCTCGGAGCTGAAAAAACAAAAAAAGTGTCGTACCCGCCACGCATAGGAAAATTTCATCATTAGTGTTCTTCTCGTATGACCAAACAAGAACCAACGTGTAATATTCAATTTTTAATGCAATTATGGGCAGTAATACTGGCAGTTCTTTATTTAAACTTTTGTGTCAATACAGAACTTTCTTACATTGTTTTGTACACTAAGGTTAGTCTCCTAGCAAATGATAATTTGTGGGTCAGTCTTAGCCAGCCATAGCTGACCACGGCAAAGCTAAAGAAAGATGCATGTTTTTCATCGAAAGCACAATATCAGGAAGAGTAAATTTAGCAGATCGTTAACTGCTTTTTCACGTGGTGATCATGTACGTTTGCAAAATTACCTTTCTAGAAGCCTTCGTGTTGTCTGGTGTGATATAAATACAGCATGTTTTAGAATCAAATGGCAGTTGTATCACACGTGTTTAGTGGCCAGAATACTAGAAGTACGCTCATGGGCTCATGATCGACTATACATCTATAAGAAACCTTGACATACTCTACCATTGTTTGTGTTCTTCGGTACCCCCTTATTTTGATTGGCTCGAGACATCTGTTGACGGCCCGTATGGATTTAGGGTGCTAAATAGCTCTTGAGGAACGAATAGTGCCTACAACTTTTGTACATTTAGCTATTTTATCAGTTATCTTTCTCGCTTGCCTGAAGCAATAATTCTCACCTAGTTCTTCAACTCCTCACGCCCTCATGCTCTAATAGTTCAATGTTTCTTCTGGTATTTTAAGTGGAACGAAAAAAAAAACTAATTGGTGGGAGCCCGCTCACTTGCATGTTTGCATTCCACCACCTAACAGCCTAATTAGTCCTCATAGGCATTTCTCAATGTAGTTTTCCAAACTTATTATTGCAGTAAATGGCTATTCACTCGACGCGCTGTCAAGACCCATCGCGTTTTGCTGTTATGTATCATTTGTTGTTTTACCTACTAACCCTGTTCTATCGAGTCCGCAAACAACGTGCTCGATTTTCCAGCTACAGAGCTGAGCTATCGTTCTATTTTTCTATATAAACACCCACTGAATGACAGAAACTGTTTCTCTGGTTTTGGGAAATGCCGTGCACACTAAGAACTATCACGCCTGGTTTTGAGTGGTAGCCTAGCATCAGAAGTTTTTTTTTACTAAATCCTGTCAGCAGATACATATACTTTTCACGCCGAATACCACACGTTTTCACCAACCTTAATTAAAAAGAAAGAGGAAGTATACAATTGAGCGATGTTTCTTAAGAACTTGACCATTAAGCCATGCGCTTGATTGTATTGACGACGCGCTGGACATTAACACTATAGTGCTTAACAACACTAATAATATTTTGTATAGAGTTTAATATTCCCAAACCACGACAATATTGTTACGAGGATCACAAACACACGGAAGAAAGAAATGAGTGTATTACCGATATTTACAAGTAGGTGAGAATCACCAGGGCTGCCAGCCTTTCGCGCGCTCAGTCCGCTTCGTCCTCTTCGATTCGTCTACGAAGGTGGGGCCATGACCACTGCCTCGTAACATCACCCCCGGCAGACGAAGCGCCGTCATGGCGTCGCTAAGTCAGTCAGGACTGGCAGTAGAGTACCGTTTTAGTCGTGAGACATGAACGGCATCATTAGGTGGTGTGGCAGAAGACGAGTGTGGTTGAACGGGAGTGATGAGGTAGTCGACGTCGGTGGCCTTGGGGAGAACTTTGTAGGACCCTGTGTATCGTGGGAGGAGCTTCTCGCACAAGCTTCACGTCGATGCAGCGTCCAAAGTAGGACGAGAGAGTCAGCAGGGTAGTTAACGTCACGGTGCCAGTCATCGTAGCGGACTTTTTTGTGAGGCCTTAGAAGCAGTGAGCCTAGTGTACGCAATTACGCGAGCGAGGCAGGCTCGAGAAGCAACGTCCTGAGCCTACGCCGTTGGTTTGGTAGTATCAGAAGGAAGGAGTGTGTCGAATGGCAACGCAGGGTTGTGACCGTACAGAAGAAAGAATGGAGAATAGCAGGCGGTGTCATGCCTTGATGAATTGTATGAAAACGTAACATAGGGGAACGTTGCGTCCCAGTCACTGTGGTCAGAAGAGACGTACATGGACAACATGTTTGTAAGAGTTCGGTTGAGGCACTCCGTGAGACCGTTGGTCTGCGGATGGTAGGCAGTAGTAAGATGATGTTTGGTAGAGCAGCTACGGAGGATTTCGCCGATAACTTTTGCGAGGAAGAAGTGGCCACGATCCGTCAGAAGCTGGCGCGGAGCCCTATGCCGCAGAACGACGTCATTCAGTAGAAAGTCTGCAACGTCTGTAACGTAGCTACTTGGCAAGGCACGAGTTATAGCTTATCTGGTCGCATAGCCTGTCCATGCTCGGTCCATGCTCGGTCCATGCTCGGTCCTTTCCCGACGTCCACACGGACGTCGAGAAAGGACCAAGCAAGTCGAGACCGACGCAGAAGAATGGTTCCGGGGGAATGTCAATAGGTTGGAGCAGGCCAGCCTTACGGAGACCAGGTCGTTTGCGACGCTGGCAACGCTCGCACGCAGTGAAATAGCGGTGCACAAGTTTATAGTGGCCAGGCCAAAAGAACCGATGCTGCACGCGGTGATTGGTGCGTAAAAACCCCAGGTGTCCTGCTGTCGAAGCGTCATGCAGATGTTGAAGAATGGTCGCACGTAGGTGTCGGAGAATAACTAGCGAAACTTCCGGGCCATCAGGCTTCATGTTGCGGCGATACAGAATTTTGTAACGGAGGACATATTGACGGAGCGAAAAGGTGGAATGTTTTGAAGATATTCGCTCAATGACCGTCTTGAGGATTGCGTCCCAGCGCTGCTCTGTACCGATGTCGCGCAAGTCAGATATGGCGAGCACACAAGAATCGTTCTCATGAACAGCGAGGCTAGCAACGTCCACCGGAAAGTGCGAGAGACAATCGGCATCCTGATGCAACCTGCCAGACCTATAAATTACGTCGACGTTATACTCCTGAAGATGTAGAGCCCCGCGACCTAGGCGACCAGTTGGGTCCTTGAGCGATGACAACCAACGCAGAGCGTGGTGGTCCGTATTAACTGAAAACTCCCGGCCATACAAGTAGGGGCGAAACTTCACTACAGCGCAGACCAGCGCAAGACCCTGGCGCTCCGTTATCGAATAGTTTTGCTCAGATGTGTAGAGAAAAATATTATTATGAGAGACGCTGTAGTGCGGAGCTCCTGTAATTTTGACCATCGGATGCCATTTAACTTGCGCTGACATCGCAGAACACATGGGCCTCTGCCAATTGCCTCCACTGAAATGCAACCGCCGGGTTCGGCGGTTGCGTGTCAGTGGAAGCGATTGCATTTTAGTGGGATTGAACCAGCGACTTTTGGTCGGGCAGCCCTATCCACTAATCCACCGAGGTGGGCCCACTGCGGTTCTTAGAAAGTTCCATGAAACTGTAAAAAGATGAACGAGCCTCACTCGAGACATCTTCATTATGGAGATATTTTGTAATATATTATTATTATGTTATCTATTTTAACAATCATTCTTCTTATTTCCTACCACATCTCACGAAGTACATGATGCCAATCGCAAACTTAACACAACGAGCGCTGGCCCTGATGGTTTTTTCACAACCAACGCAAAAATTATCGCACAAGCTGTTCCGGATACTTTATCATCCATATACAACTTAGCCTTCAGAACTCGTATCTTCCCTGCAGAATTAAAAATTGACAAAGTTATTCCTGTGTTTAAAAAAAGTGACCATACACAAATATCCAACTATCGACCCATTTGCATCATACCTTTCTTCAGTGAAGTATTTAAAAAACTGCTCGAAACTCGCCAGCCCAAATACCTCAATATATATCAGTTTTTTGCACTTTTTAATTTGGTTTTCTTTAAGACTATTCCACTGACCTCGTTTTGTTATCTTTAACTTAAAAGCTAAAGAAAGCAATAGTTAGGGGTTTCTACGCAGGTTCTGTTTTTATAGATTTTACCAAAGCATTCGACACTATTCACCACTACATCCTTTTCATGAAGCTTGAAGCCATATGCGTAACTGTTCCTGTGATAAATTACTCAAGAGAAGACAAGCTATAAATCTGCAGATTTTCAATCTACACAGAAGGTAACAAATATTGGAGTACCACAATAATCTAGCCTCGGCCAACTTCTTTTGATAATTTATATCACTGACCTGCCAGCTTCTCTTACCACTTCAGAGTACTTACTGTACGCAGATGACGCAACAATTATCAACACTGATAAATGTCTTCGATCTCTGACACAGAAACTGAATAATAACCTTTCAAGCTTGACTTCTTGGCGTTTCAATATGAAGCTACGAATCAATGTCACCAAAACTATATTCGTTGTTTTTCACTCTCACCAATGTGAACATATTCATCTCCCGCCAATATTTATAAATCAATTCGAAATTGAAGCAGATGAGGAGGCTACTTTCTAGGGAATCCAACTTGACCGCAACTTGAAATTGCATTCGCATATTTCTCTACTACGAAGAAAGATGGCTTACGGCATACGTGTTCTGCTTTTAAAGGCCATGATCTATTTTCCCAACTTACGTTACTTGCATTGTATTACGCCTTTATTCATTCTCACCTTAATTACTGTATCACATCCTGGGGCAATACCTACAGTAGTCATCTTGTTTCTCACAAACCTATGCAAAACCAATCTATTCGAATACTTTTACACAGTCAGTATCGCCGTTATGCTATAGCATTCCTGCATGGCAACAACATCCTAACGGTCTGTGGCTCTTTGAAATTCACACTAGGAATATTACTGTACAAGGAAACCAACAATCAGCTTCCTGTGTTCATTATTCCTTCATCTAATCTAGTGAATACTAACTTCAGAAGGTTTGCACAAACAGACAAGTTACTTCGATCAGATCCATTTTTTGAATACTATACTTCCGGCGATCAAAACATCGCAATCGATTGGCGAATTCAAAACAAAACTCAAGACCTTACTCTCATCACTTTCATGATCTGGTACTTTTCGTCACTTCTATTACTCTCCTTCCTATTCATATCATTTTGCAACATAAGTAAAGGTATCGCATCGTCGTCATGCATCGGTGACATAGTTATGACATTAGTTTTCTCTTCATTGTGTATTTTTAATGCTTTTTAGCGCATTTTTTTGAAAGTTGTAATGAAGTGTTTGATTAACTCTTTCTCTAGTATCATTTTAAAATTTTCGTAAAATTTCATAAGTACTGCATTACCTTTATTTGTTTTGTTTTGTATGATTTTATTATTTTGTCTAAAACTATGAGCACTGATTTATTTCTATTTTGTACGTAGTCTGCTTTTGGCTTTTGTCTGCTTTTTTTCCCGCTTCCTCCTGGTATTTCTTTTTAATCTGTTCCTTTTCAAGCTTGTGTTGTATATTTTTGCCTATTTTTTGTACTGTTGTTTGCTGATTAAAATAATTTCTCCTGTATTCAGTACTGTAGGAGGTCCCGATTAAGTTTTTTACTATTGGTTCTCGTTATGTATACAAAATACTTTTAATGCTCCTGATGACATAATAAATTCATGTCTGATTCTGATTACAATCCGTTGAACGTGTTACAGAAAAGATTATTATTGGTTCCTTAGTTGGACTTTGGGACCCTCGTCTCCATACTTTTAACTGTGAACTTCGTATTTTGAATGAATAAAAACTATAAACCTAAAGACTCATAATTCTCTGTACTCATTTTCATCGTATCGATGCTTGGCAATATGTTTTATTGTTGTTTCCTTAAACACACTGAACTATGGTACAAGAACTTCACAACTTATATTCACAAAAGAGAGCTAACTAAGCGTTTGGGAAACACCAAACGTACTGCACTGTGAATGCTTGTTGTGTATCTTCAAAGGCTAGTAATGGATGAAATATGAAAGAAGTGCACCCTTTTTTCGAAAGATATGTACCGTTCTCCCATTCCCATCTTCCATACAGGGGACATCATGTACTACGATGAAGAAGGCCGCGTGTACTTCGTGGACCGCGTGAAGGACATGATTAAGTGCCTAGACCAGCAGGTGTCGTCCATGGAACTTGAAGGCTTGCTGCAGAGCCACCCCAGTGTGGCCGATGCCGCCGTAGTAGGAGTACCGAAAACAAAGTACGGCGATGCTCCGACTGCTTTCGTCGTTTTGCGAGATCCGAAATTCGCCTCACCCGAAATAGCAGCTGAACTCAAGGACCATGTCGCATGTAAGTCACACGAATAGTGCTTTAACGCAAAAATGCTTTGTGTCGAGATTAACTAAGATGTTGTTCCGACACGCATAATAAAGTAGAATATAGCTTAAAATAAACCTGCAGGAAATAAATCTACAAGCCTTTGGTCCGTGACAATGCGTTCTGGATGCACTACACACTGCACCACTGACGCTCACGCACGAGAATTCAAGAATGCACCCTCATCTCTCACTCCTTCCATTTAGTGACTATTATTGGCAAAACAACGGTGGGTGGGGGCGGGATTGGCAGGCTAGCATCAATTAAGTACTGAGGACGTGGCCGCCTACATTGCTAGTTGGCGACACCCGCGCGCAATTTATTGTATTTGGGCTACGGAAGACGATCGTCTTCACATTATAGTTGCAGGTTTTAAGCAGATTGTATGCGAAAATTCCTCGTTCGCTATGGTAATTAGATCATGTTCTGGGAGGAATCAGTGATGGAGCGAATTTCCACCAAGCGCGTCTCTGTTTGGTATGGAGCTAGAGCTACATCCCGCCAGGCGTAACCACGTAGCCCTTATTTTACGCGATGGTCTGCTAAATCACAAGAGAGTACTGAAAAACAGGAAACAAGAGTTTATTGCTCGAGATTGTGTCTAAGTGGCTGAGCAATAAATTTAAACAGCAGCACCAGATAACAGACAGGAAGTGCCCGTAGCCAAGACACACAAAGATGCGTGGTTTCATTTTCGGGTGCACTCCAACCGAATGCGAGAGACAACAAAAGTGCATCGAGGTAGTGAAGTTACCATCGCAAGATATACGCACCCAATAGCAAGTATGATGGAATCTCTTACCGTATCCTAAGAACGCAATGACATGTATTGCACCGCAGCTTTCACCACCAAAAAAAAAGCTTTTGCGCACCCAATCACACAGATGGTGTCCCATAAAAAAGTAAGGTTGCAATGAATATTGGTGCCCTAGCCGACTGACGCTCAACGCGAACTCTGGGTTCATAGACATTAGCTGCTTTCCCCTTCAGGGGGTGCGAACGTTTCTTGAAGCCGTTTGCTGTTATGTTCAATTTGTTGGCCTTACATTATTTGCGCTTCCCCTCTCTCTGATGTGATGACTAGAGGGAGCGGAATCTGTCGCCTTCTTCATTTTGAGTGAACAAGCGGACAGCAGCGTTATTTGCTACATTTTTATTCCCATAAGGGTTCATGAAGAATAAAATATTTTTGTTCTTTGCACACACAAAAATTTTTACGGCTGGCAAAAATGTTTTGCCTACTTAATTCACAAATTGTTCTGGCAACGAAATATGAAATACATTCTAGAACCATTGGTCTTTCAGAAGTTGTTTGGAAGAAAGTATAAACATCTTTCCATGTTCCGAAACTTCACGTATAACTGCCCACAATGCATGACGTCTGTTAAAACAACAAGCGCCGTTCCCGTGCGGGGTCGCGATTAGCTTTCAAGACCAACGCATTTATTTCACCTACACTGAAAAACACAGCAAAGTTGATACTGGTCGTTATCTGATTTTGCCAATGGTCAAGACTGTTCATAAGATAACGAAGCACAACTATTTAAGGTTATCTACCCTCTCTACAATTTGTTCCAGGCAAAACTGAAAAATTCAAGCATCTCTATGGAGGCCTGCTGTTTGTAGACCACTTGCCAAGGAACTCAAACGGCAAAGTCCTCAAGCATCAACTAAAGCTAATGTATGAGAAGTCCAAAGTGTACTAATAACCCTTTGATAGCCTCATCAATTAAATATAAAAAAGAAACGTGCGTGCTTCTTTGTGAATTTGCCTAAGATGAATCTTAGGCGAGGAACATCCTCACCTTGTTTTTTGTGCTTTTCGTGGCGTCAGTGCATTCATTTCTTTTTACATCCAAAATATTTCTTTAGGTCGCGTTCCTTTGCACAGCCTTCGCTATCGGTCAGCTTTTGATAAAGGGACGATGCCGTGAACTGTCATTATGTGAACTCGCATTAACGTCATGAGAACGTCAAAATTTAGTGGTGCGTAAAGTTCTACAGCGGTGACGACTTTTGCTTGGTTTTCCTTGCTGACGACGATTTCATCAAGGCTATCGCCAACAATGGTGATTATTTACAGTGCACGAGTCATCGAAGGTTTTCGGCTTCGAATAAAAAAAGCTCCAAAGACATTTTTAAGGATATCAATACATTGTTTTCAGCTCATATCACACAATTTGTTATATTGTTTTTTGAAAGTGCTTCAAACCAGGCGAAATAACAATTTGGGCAACATGGGCAGTATTGCAACGGGCCTCACTGAGAGGCAGCTTATTAGTATGAAAGAAGTTGTAAAGTTTCTAGGTTATCTTGTGCGAAGACCTGACACGTTCTCGACTGAGGTTAAATGTGATTTTACAAAGGTCGCTTCTTCGAATACTGAAGGAGTCACTGAACTTGGAAGTGTTCGAGACTTGATTGCCTATATAAATGAGAGCTTTGAGCTCTTTAGGACTGACGTTCAGGCTTTTTGCAAAGAAATTCACGTAGTCAAGACTGAGAGTGCGCAGTGTCGGAAGGAAAGCGAAGAACTGCGGTGGGACCTGATAGAAGCTAGTCGGGAAGCTGTCGAGCTGAAACAATATGACAGAAATATCAATATCGAAATCCAAGGACTCCTTGCAATCGAAAAAGAGAGCCTGGAGCAGACTGTCGCAAACATCGTCAAGTGCTTAGGAGCTAATGTCACGGAAAATGACATTGACGTCGCACACCGTGTTTTCTCGAAAGATAGAAAAAAAAACTGTGATCGTTCGGCTCCTCACTGGAACGGCGTGATACAGAATATTTACAGCGGCTAAAAAGACTAAACAAAGCAGTGCTCGTCTTGGTTTAGAAAATAGTAACACTGTGTATATAAATAAACACATGTGCCTGGAAATGATGTTTCTCCTTAGTAAGGCGCGGCTAGCAAGGGGTGAAAAAGAATGAAAATATGTATGGGTATCATAGGGCGAATCTTCATGCTGAAGGCAGACAGGAGACTTGTTTTACATGTAACTTCTGAAGCGGTTCTGGCTAAAGTGGTCCAGCATAACAATCGATGCATGTTTGTGCTGTGAGACATGGTGATGTATTCCAGTGTATCTCAATTCACTTCGTATGTAAGCGGACGTAAAAGGCAGCCCCTGACATTTCTTCCTACTAAATTGCAATCAGGTCGTCCCCAAGCAGAAAACATCTTGTTTCTTGATGAGTTCGAATTCTTGTTCTCCGTTTCATCGATGACTTAAACTTGGTAGCGAAGTGAAACAGACGTTTTCTGTATCGACGAATACAATGCTGTATACCAAAACGAGAAATCAAAATTGGTGTTGGTGTATGCTTACATGTCAAAGCTGGAATAACGTATGATCATCTGTCTCTGCGCACCGATGAACTTGAGGCGTTAACCTTAAAATATCCAAGCTATAATTTGTTGTAATGTACAGCCCACAAAGTGACAATATTAGTTCAATTATTCAATAATTAGCAAACCCATTTAGCTATGTAAACCAAAAAAATTACATATTAGTGCTGAAAGTTGATCGCAACCTAGATATGAGTAGCAATTCACGTTAACAGACGAGACTTTCCAACCTGCTTGCTTCTTTTTTTCTTTAACAATGTAATTACCATTCCAACACGTATTACTGATACCACTTCTACTCTAATAGGCTCGCTTATCACTAATAGTGCAAGCAATACAATAGACACAAGCGTCCTGCGGGCTCCAATAAGTGATCAGTTACAAATATATCTATGCGTAGAAAATATATATACTATCAGACTCAGACGTCGGACCCTTCCTGCCATTCCTTTTTAACAAATAATCTACAAACGCTACCTTTTTTTACAGAGGAAACAAGCACTCTAAGTTGGAACACCATTGAAATGAGGTCTTCTGCTGATCTTGCCTATGATCTTTTTATTCACACTGTGTTCTGTGTATAAAAAAATCATTTTACTTATAAGGCCTTAAAGAGACCAAAACGGGCTCATTAACCTTGGATTTCTTCCCCCATACTCAACTTGTTTAAAAGAAAATGAGTTGTACCAAGTGTTTCTGAGAAAGCAAGAACCAGATAACTTCAAAGCGCTTAAGGTATACTGAAATAAACTCACAAAACAACAAAAATAAGATAAACGAGATCACAACTTCAAGATAATTCGAATGTTTGATTGATTCTAAACAAAAATAGCACAAACTAAATGCAAATATATCTGATAAATAGGTAACTAATGATATTAGATAGCTGGTGATTATTAATGAAATATGCACAGGCGCAGTACTAGGAAAAAATTTAACGAGTACTCTACCTCACTGGTTGACAGTAGTCATAGTTTTGATTATTTAGGTTATTTGCCTCCTGCTTTAGATACTTCAGTGTTTGCGAATCCTACAGACACGCAAGAGGTCATCGGCATTTTTCAGCATTTCAAGAAGAGTAAAAGCGAGGATATAAATGGCTCAAATTTAGAACTCATAATACTTACTTTTGATTTCGTATGTGCGTGCATAGGTCATATTTACAATGTTGTGTTCACCAGTGGGTTGTTTGCTAAGATGATGAAAAATGCTAAGGTGACAGTTGTATATAAATGTGGGGATAACAGCAAGTTGAGTACCTGCCAACCAATCCTAATTTTGCCAATTTTCTTTAAGGGGGGTGAAAAACTCACTTTCTGTTGGCTGTCAAATTTTCTTAAAAACACAGCATCGTTACGCCGTCACAGTGCCTTACTCTAACAAAAGACCTTGATTAAAAAAAACATGGAAGCAAAAAAACGTATGCTACGAATAATCCTAGAATCTTCCAAAGCTTTCGACAGGATAAACCATGATATTAGGCTGGAAAAACTTCACAGTTACAACATTCGTAGTACAGTTGGGGAATAATAAGAAGCTACTTATTAAATCGCACACAGTGTGTATCAATAAACCGAGAGATATCTTGAGCCATTAACGTTAGGAATGGTGTACCTCACGGTAGCATTTTGGGACTTCTAATACTTAATACTTTATCACTATTTTCGTACGTGCTGTCAGCTCTGTCGAATAGGTGATCTATGCAGGAATATTAGTATATTTTTCTGGACGAACTGCTAGCGACCTCAATGTTTCTGCATATATATATATAAGGAAAAGAAGTGTATACCTAAGGGCTCGTTTTTCCGTATTTTAACACAATATTAATGAGATATAACAGACAGTAATGCCAAGGAATGTACAGGGGAAGTTATTAGAACCAATGGAATGTATATAAGAAAGAATAGTGGATGAAAAAATAACCAGCCGTGGGCAGGAATCGAACCTACGACCTTCGAATAACGCGTTATATTATATATATATATATATATATATATATATATATATATATAGATATATATATATATATATATATATATATATATATATATATATATATATATATATATATATATATATACTGTGGCAAGTTTTTTGCATAATGATAGCTCTAAAAGTAAAGCTGTAGTATTCCATGCAAAGTAAAATCATTTGAAACTTCTCACAAAATAATACTTAAGGATGTGTAAATTAATCTTGATAAAACAAATAAAAATTCAGCCTCAATTTTCACGAACACATGGCATGGAATCATCATAGTGACCTCAATATTCACACACTTTGTAAAGATTTGGGTGTGATGCATCGATGCCAGAATATAGCACCTGCGAGGCAAGAACTGTTAGTATACAATGCTACTTTTTCATCCTCTTTACACTATTGTCATCTTGTTTGGTATACAGGCTCTAAAAATCATTAAATGACCTGGTCGTATTACAAAAAATGATTTTCAAGGTATTAAATGTGAATTTTATAGCACACACGCACGCACGCAAAGGAAAAATATTGACCTATGGTAGGCTGGCAGCTATAGCGGCCAGCCTCTGAGGAGGATGACGAAGTAGTTCTTTGGGCGTGTGCTCTGGTGTTGGTGCTTTTGGCTTACGGTACCGAAAGTAAACGCCATGTTAGGTGCCTGCGTCGCTGTGTCCTTGTGACATTCTCTGGTGGAAGTGCTGAATACGGTAAATGATACGGTCCCCAGAGAGCACCCCTGACGCAAGCGCATCGAGTAGCTCAGCCGAGCTTATTCCAGTGCACGTACGTTCCAGCCGTCATCTCCAGGGACTCGAGCCACTGCACGGTTTGCTGCCTGAACGTCAGAGGACTATGAACCAAACAACCCCTAACGTCACCGCCCCAGCACCAGCGCACCTGGTTGTCAACCAAGCCCAACACGCCGAAAACAGTTCAGTAAGCTGCTTTTGAAGATCATGACAACTGGCTCGAGCATTTCGACCGGGTCACAGTCATCAACGATTGGACCCCATAGCGTAAGCTACGCGTAAGCTGCCCTATCGCATTATCTATGGAATCCATCAAGCCGCCTCGCCTGCAGAAGCCTCCGTCTTCAAAAGTACGACATAACAGTGGTCTACCGATCAGAAAATAGGCATACAGTTGCTGACTGCCTGTCTCGTGCCGCTATTTTCCCGACATCCTCGGACAATGAACAAAATTTACCGTCTCTTGGCATCGTTGATGTGGTGCGGATGGCTGAATTCACCGTGAGGACACTGAGCTACTGCCTGTCATCCAGCGTCTTCAAGGAGAACAAGTTGTCGTCCCACGGCCGCTCTTACGTGAATCCCATCGTATTGCCTGCGGAACAGTGTTCTCTACAAGAGAAACATTGAGAGCAGCCACGAAACTTTTCGCCTCGCCATTTCAGCGGCACTG